AAATTCCATTTTTATGACTGGATTTGGTGATTCCGGCATCACGGATATCATAGGGCCCTAAGGTAGTCAGCATGCCTTGGCAAAGGAGATTTTCTAGCAAATCATCTTGTTTTATTAGTTTTAGCTTTTTTCAATATTTGAATGAATAGTATCAACAGTATTATGAACTGCCAGTCATTCTCTGACTTTAAACAGTAGTAGGTTTTACTGTCTTCTTTCCGCAGATACTATATTTGTAGATTTGTAATTTTGGTAACTCTTTATTTTAAGCTGTGCTTGTTACACATTACATGTATTTACTATTGTAATAACATTAAATTGTGCATAATTACATGCAAGTAACCCTAAGCCTAACCCTAACCATATAGTAAGTACATGTTAATATTACTCGGTACATAAATGTATAATTACACTGTAACAAGAACACCTTAAAATAAAGTGTAACTGCAGTTTTACTTCTCATTGCAAAAGTTAGTGCTTAAAGGGGTCCTATTATGCTTTTTCACTTTTACAACTTTAGTTAGTCTGTAATGTTGCTGTTTGAGCATAAAAAAGATCTGCAAAGTTACAAAGCTCAAAGTCCACTTCAAAAGGAGATATTTTATTTAACAGAAAACTTTTCAAAAACTACAACGAATGACTCGTTTGGACTACAACGCATATTTTCCAGGATTTGTGATATCACAAATATCCAATCGCAGCACATTTTGTATTTCAGAAGGCGGGCCTTCATTTGATTCAGGAACTATTCGAGCCATTCATGCCAGACTGAGGAGAGAGGTGTTGTAATAATGTAATGTATGTGAAAAATAATGTGTTTTTCGAACAGCCTAGTATGAGAGCCTGTTCTAGTACACCCCCAAAACAAAATCAAGACTTTGTAAAAGAGCATAATAGGACCCCTTTAAATTGCTCTCTGTCTCATGAAGGGTTGGAGAAGAGACTCAAATACTGTAATATTTAGTGACGTTAGTACAGGGAATAAAGCTAATATTAGAGAAGGCAGCACAGTGAGTTTCTGTACGTTTTCAGACATTTTAATGTCCACAGCAGTTCTCTCAAGTGGAGATATTGTGCTGAAACACAGTGACACTTCCTGTCTCACCCCTACACATGCACACAAAATCACACAGTCATACACGCATCTTCTCTTGCAGTCCAGCCATGATCAGCAGCTGACACTGGGGGAGGTGTGAAGGCACACACTATGATGAATGCACAAAACCTTACATGCTTTTAATATCTAAATATCCCTCTATGCATTCATGCATTTAAAGGCAGAGTAAACAGACAGATTCACTCTGAGAAATGGGTTTATTCGTTGACGGTCTGTCTTACATTTGCCGTGACCATATGTCATGCTCCGTGGTCTTTTAATGGGAGACATTTAGAAAGCAAATGCAGCACTTTAATTTACAGCCCTGAACTTTACTGCCATGCCAGAACTTTACACACATGCCAGTAAACTCATGCGGTGCACACTGCACATGGATAATAATAATCACAGCTATAACGTTATTTATGTAGCACTTTCCCTATCAGTAATGTTCATGCTCAAAGTGCTGCGTTAAAACTTAAATATGGTCATTAAGGCTAGATTGCTTTAAATAGCTTTTATGTAGTTTTATGTAAATCTAATAATTTATACCGTTTTGCCTTTCGTAGGGAGAGAATGACAGAATCATCCTCCAGTATGTGTGAAAGAAGGTTTTTTTCTTTCTCACTTCTCTTACTGTTCACCCTCCATGTGCTGTGTGTGATTGTAGAACAGCTATAGCAGCCCCCATCTTTTTCTTCCAGCACTGAATGATTTGACTCATGGGATATGCTGTATATTGGAATAGCTTTGACCTAGAGAGCCATTTACAGCGTTAATTGATTTACCCAACTGATGTCGCCTTTTCCTCCACCGCCGACCTCAGTCTCCCTCAGTGTATTATCACTTGGGTGTCGGATCTGGGTTTGGGCTGTTAAATACCGAAAGCATCTTTCGCCCTGGTGTAGGCTGTACCCGTGCATAGCAAAATGCAGGGGTCTCTTGGCATCCAGCTCACATGCGTGTGTGCACGTGTTGCTGCTGTTATCCTACACTCCTCAATACGCACTCAAACCGCAATCACGTTGCACTCTCATGACACTATATTTATGAAAGACTGCATAGATATACAGCTGTGTTACTCTGTATTAATTACTTTAAGGTTTAATTTCCAAAACCCTCTTTTACTGCCCTAGGCAGGAGGAGAGGTGTAGAGCTGCAAGCAGCAAATTAGCAGAATCCAGAGGGTATAGGAAGCTGCCGTAATGTTGTAGATGAAATGGACCTAGTGGCATGTCTTCGCAATTTAAATATTACAGTGTTGCAGTGCAGAATTAAACGGCTTTAAATGTATGATATTACACTGATTATGCTTATTTACCTATGTCTAGGTCATGTAAATAATGGTGCGAATCAACCTCATGAATGGCCCACAGGTTTTGGGCTATTACCTTAGTTTGCTGTTTATTTCAGATGCTTTTTCAAAGTGTGCATGTGTTGTGCACGCCTGCTTAAATTTTGGAAAAGAAAGTGAAATACTTACACTGCTGTTCAAACGTTTGGGGTCAGTAAGATTTTTTTTTTTATGTTTTGTTTTTTAGAAAAAGTCTATTATCCCACCAGTGCTTAATTTATTTGAACAAAAATACAGTAAAATCAGCAATATTGTGAAATAATGTTATAATTTAAATAACTGTTTTCCACATTAATGTAAAGCTGAATTTTCAGCAGCCATTACTCAAGTCTTCAGTGCCACATGATACTTCAAAAATCATTCTTTAAGCTGATTTGCTGCTCAAGAAACATTTCTTATGGGTGTTTACAACAGTTGTCAAACGAGATAAAAGAAATTCTGGATTCTTTGACGAATAGCAAGTAAACAAATGGCAAATTTATTTAAAATAGAAATCTTTTGTAACAATGTACAAGTCTTCACTGTCACTTGTAATGTGTCCTTGCTGAATAAAAATATTAATTAAAAAAAATAATTTACTTAATGACTTTAAACTTTTGAATGGTGGTGTATGTAAATGCAGTTTTGTTGCATTCTTGGCTTTTTAGACTGAGTTCCATCTCATGAACTGCTCATGTAATGGACTCCGATCCATTACATGAGCAGTTCATGAGAAGATTTTTGCCTTTAAGAAAAAATATGAGGCTTATGGTTATTATTATCATTATTTTAAACTAAAATCGAAAGCGGTTCAAAGTACATAATAATAGGCCAGTGGAAAAGCAATAGGAAACTTACACTTGATTTGTAAATATCTAAATCTATGATCTGTTCACCACTTGTACACTAAATTATAACAACCCTGCTGTATCAAACAAAAAAAAAGAAAATGTAAAAAAATATATATATTTTGGGAACTGTTATACTTTGCAGTAATTTAATGGGAGAAGTCCTACATATGTTGACATTAGAAAATAAAATAAAACTCTCAAAAGACGCAAAGCATTGCCTCCATAAATAATATTACTATTGTACCCAATTTTAGATATATCGCAATTGAATCAAATTATATTAAACAAGTTTTGCTTATTAAAGGGTTAGTTCATCCAAAAATGAAAATTCTGTCATTAATTACTCACCCTCATGTCGTTCTAAACCTCCGTTCATCTTCGGAACACAAATTAAGATATTTTTGATGAATTCTGAGTAGGGGTGGCTCCGATCAGGATTTTTGAGGCCGATCACAGAAAGCAGTATCTGCCGATATGATCACCGATACCGATCTTTTTAAAGCCTTATTTTTATCATGTAGAATTATTTATAGTAATACTCCAATCAGGAATTTTATTGGAAATTTATTCAGGGCCTGAATTTCATTTTTGAAAATGGGGGGAATTCTCCTCTTATAGGTGACTCTTGTGAGAGGGGATTTTTTTAATTTGAGGGGTGGAGGGGATATCAAAAATATATATTTATCTTACCTAAATATTCGATCATGCAGCACATTTTTGTTTTTACACTCGTGCAATTGTTGCACAATAGCTTACACACAGCACAAAAAGTTGCTCAAGCAAGTGGCAAAACATTTAAAATAAAAGAGCGCGTGTGGTGATTCACTCACGCTGTTTGTGAAATTATGTCCCACAGAAGGTTTTCAAATTACTTTAAGAGTTATTTAATGAAGAAATATGAGTTGCACCTCACCTTCAGCATAATAATTATTTTACCCGCGCCAGACAGAGACTGAGACTGTGCTGCTGCATGTCGTGCCAAACCTCTCACGGCAGGCGCGTCATCAGCTTGAGATCGTTTTTTTGAGATCGGCCTTTTTAGAGACCACCGATCAATCATCCCAAAGCGATTATCGGCCGATAGTGATCGGTAGCCCCCCTAATTCTGAGAGCTCTCTGACCCTCCCATAGACAGCAATATAATTACCACGATCAAGGTCCAGAAACGTAGCAAGGAGATCGGTAAAATAATCCATGTGACATCAGGGGTTCAACCGTAATTTTACGAAGCTACAAGAATACATTTTGTGCTCAAAGAAACAAAAATGACGACTTTATTCAACAATTCGTCTCCTCCGCGTCACCCTGGCGAATTGTTGAATAAAGTCGTTATTTTTGTTTTCTTTGCGATATCTTCAAAAATATCTTAATTTGTGTTCCGAAGATAAACGGAGGTCTTACGGTTTAGAAGGACATGAGGGTGAGTAATTAATGACAGAATTTTCATTTTTGGGTGAACTAACCCTTTAAAGAAGTTTTGCTTTCTAACTATTAGTGCTAAAATCCACCTGCGGTTGTTCAGCTGTTTAAGTGGTTTTTTTTCAGCTATTAATGTATGCTAATATTTAGCTACGTGGAGGCAAGGCTTGAGTCCAGAGAGAGATGCCCTTCCCCTTATTTTTTACATTTTTACCTGCCCCAAATACCCCTCACCCCTGGCCTGTGCACGGGACTGTAGCGCTGCTCAGACTAACATGCGCCCCCTGCTGTTTGCATGCAGTCACTGCATCCAGCAGATCCTGGAGGCGGTGCTTCACTGCCATCAAATGGGCGTGGTGCACCGAGACCTGAAGGTAAGTGACGGTTGTGATGTCATCGCTGCCCTTCGAGTGTGTGAACTTGTGTATGTGCTCATAAAAGTTGGTATGTAGAAATCCGTGCCTACCGCTGTGTCGATTTGACTGACGTAATTGCTGATAGGCACTTTTGGTCTCCCTGCGAAAACGGGGGGGGGGGGGGAGT